CGGTTACTATAGACTAACACAACAGCGACATTAATGAATGTTTTAATCTTCTATAGTATGTTAGTCCGGGAGAATCATATGTGAATAACGTCAAGAAATACTTGACCGTTGAAATTTCTAGGACGCATAATGAGGAAAGATGACTTGGAAAATTTGATACTCATATGACGTATTGAAAGTTTGTTAGTCCGAGAGAATCATAGATGCCGTTAAACAAACAAATCAATTTCTCTACAGAAAATAGTATTTTTCTTTCTTGCAAAACTTGGACGTTTTCCACAGGCACACTTTTATTGTTTCTTTAAGAAATAATCAAATTTCAGCCTGTTATGAATTTGCTTTCCTTCTGTGTATGTCTTATTTGTGCTATATACACGCATGATTGGTCGCAGTGCCAAATGTCACCTCTTATAATCCCTGGCACCAAATACCAAGTAAAGTGTAACATTTTGCAGGTGTGTTTGTTTTTTGACTGTTCAGTATTTTCACCTGTTGTTGGTCTCTAGATGCACTTGTCTTGCATCTTGTCATTGTGTACCTGTTAGGATGTGATTATTAAAAAATTCTTCTGTTCATTCCAGCAGGCTGTAGTCCTGTTGATCTGGAAACTTTCTCAAAAGGCAAAACGATTATAGGTAGTGGTTAAACACTAATGCAAATGCCAAAACAATTTAATCCCATAGGTCAGAGGTTAAAATCCCTCTTGGTTGACCTTCTACTAAGATCTTGAGTTATCATAAAAGGGGTTAACTGCAAGGTTAGATGTTTGTGTGCTGTAGTTTCATTCAGCTTCAGGAGAGACACAACAAATTCTTTAATTTTACAAACTGACTTTATAGATACTTGTCCAGAGAAATAATATTGATGGATACTTCCAACAACGTCTAACCTTCTTGCCTGTAAAAATGTGATGTGTGAAAAGGGCAGTTTTTCCCTTGACACTGCTATTATTTTAACTACCTTCACTCCTCAGAAAAAAAAAAAAAAGTGATGGTTAGAATTTTAATAAAACCTAAACATATGAAAGTGAATTTATACATTTTCTTTGTTCTTGAGAATTGAAAAAAAAAAAAAAAATAAACACTATTATTTTACTTATTGGAATGGTTGGCAAAACATTGTATCAATTCTAATTTTATAAAATGGTAAATGTTAAGGATTTCCTTATAATTGGTTCACATGTTTTAATAATTTTGTAAAGGTTTATAAATTTATTTATTTAAAAATTAGTTTTTATTTTATTTTCTTTTATAAATTATTTGTTATAAATATTTAATTTGCATTAGTTTTAATTTTTTAAAATATATTCTGTTTATTTTATAGAAATATTTTATAGAATCGAACTATTTCCTGAACCATGATATGCTCTGTTTATAATAAACCAGTAAAAACAAAGGAAACCGGCCTGAACGAAATAACGAAAATTTTTACATAAATAAAATATATATGTTCTGACAGCTGTCATCTGGTTTGAAATGATCCTATTGGCTCGACCATTCGGTATAGCCTGACCCACCTCCCATACCAAAGATTATTTAAAGGCCGAGTTTTACGTGGGTTTTTCGAGGTTATAGACTTATTGCATTTAAAAATGCCCGACAATTTTATAAACCATTTTCTTTTTAACCTCCCAACGTCTGCTTCAAAAGTGTCCGGTTTAAATGTAAAAATATAGGGTTCGACAATGTCACCGAGAAGCTCTATCGATTCGACAAAATCTGACAATTGTTTTAAAACGGTTTCTTCTGAGTTCATTCTATAGTTAACATATAAACCCAAGACAACATGTTTAATAATTGGTGAGCAAGGTCGATTTTACCATTTCAACAATTTTCCACCATTTCCTTCGAAATTGTATTCTGCTTAAAATGTTGTAAATATAAAATTATTCTTGTAAATAAAGAAAAGTCTAATAAATAGTTTTAATATTTTTGTTGTAGATTCTCAAGAACAAAAAATATATAAATTAACTTTCATCATATGTTTAGGTTCTATTACAACGTTTCGCATTTCAGTTCTGTCTAAACATTGTTTCAATGTAAGTATTTACTTATTCATCATCAGGCATCCTTGTCGGAATATTATTGTTATTTTGTCCATTGATGTTAGTGTTTTTTCATTCCTTGACATTTTTGAGCACAGTGATTCAAGCCTGATCTGGGGACTGAACTCAACCACTGAATGCCAGTAACACAAAAGACAAAGCAAAATCCTACAATTTCACCATCCTGAAGACATCACTTGTGTATTTTTGGAGAACTTTCATTGTTAGATAATTTCAACTTTTGGCTATGATAAAATTAATAGGAGTTGTAAATTTTTGGAACTAGAACTTTATGTCCCCCAAAAAAATAAAGGGTTAGTCCATTCAATTCTTTGAAGCACCATTTGTCAGTAAAACGTTGTTTAAATATATCTTTTTGATCAGGACATTTGGAAAAAGAACAATAGATAAACATTTATAAATCAGAATTTGTCCATTTTGCAGTTTTAGTTTTAAAGCTTTATCAGATTTAGAAATAAAAAAATTATTCTTGAAAATAAAAGAATCTAATTCTGCTTGTTTTAATTTTATATTTTGTTTTTTTCATTGGTTCTATGCTACCTTGAAACCTTGTTTCAACTAAGTATACATCTTCAGGTGTCCTTTGGGTAGCAGCCCTTGATGTGTATAATTTTCACAGCCTGATCTATTGATCTCAGTGGCAACCACTAATTAAAGTTTGTCATGCAAGCAATTCAGACAATAATGTATATTCATTGTTCACTTCTATATTTTGGGAACATTTTTATATTCAATTTAGATGGTTCTCAAATGTTGATTGGGGGATGTTTTCTTTGAACGCAAGTATATGAAAAGTCCCTAAACAAAGAATTTGAAGATTATCCACTAATTTGTGGTTGTTTATCAGACAATATCTTTAATAATATCTTTTTGATATAATTGAAAATGAACAAACCTGAGTTCCCCCTTACTGGAATATGATTGGCTATGTCCATCAGGAAATAAAGACGAAGAAAAATAAAATTCTCGTTGTTTTAAAATTTTCAAGTTTTTTATTGATAACCTAAACGCCCATTGGACAATCAGCGTTTGGCTATTCTATTGGCCTGTATGTGTATATTATTAAATTTTGTCTATGCAGGATTCAGACAATAATGTATATTCATTTGCTACCATGTATATCTAGGCGGCATTTTATACTTCTTTAAATGTTGTTGATTGGGGGATGCTTTGTGCAAATATATCCTTTTGTTGCACTATATCAATTTTATAAAAAGATTCTGTGATAATAATAAAAGTGTGTCTGACTTGTATTTATAGATGGCAAAATATTTATCAGAACTCCTTTAAAGTATTTCCTGCTTAAAAAAATTTTTTCTAATTAATCAAGGTTGCATATAATATAATTTATATATTTATAACTTCAGTTTTATAAATGCCCCATCAAACACACTTTTATTATATCACCAACTTTTATAAAATCCATTTGTAAAGAATATATGTTTACCTACAACCACAATGGGTGCAACTTAAATTCTTTCACCCTCATACAAAACATCCTCAAATCAATATGTGACCAACCACCAAACATAGTTAAAAATGCCAAATAGATGCACACATAAAGGAATAAACATCATCACCCAAATCCCTCATAAACAAACTAGGATTATGATACACATGACCGCTGCTTGACAAAACAGATGCATGTGAAGCCTGCTTAACCAATGAAAAATAATCAACAGGTCTCAACAATGCTAGATTCATGATTGTCATCTTGTATACATTTTCAAGTTTTTTTGTTTCAGAATCTTTGATACTTAATTAATAGAATAAGGAACAACAAAGAAACATTTATAAATGCCCCACTAATTAGAAAAGAACATAATTATTTATGCAGGAATTACTTTGACAGAGTTCTGATAAATATTTTGTTGTCAAACCAATATTTTATAAAATCTATGCTTAAAGAATCTAAGATATGTCTACCTACAACCACAATGGGTGTAACTTAAATTCTTTCACCCCCATACAAAACGTTCCCCAGATCCACATGCAGAAAAACACTATCATGGATAAAAAAAAAAAAGACTACACACACACACACACACACATACACACACACTATCATATAAATCCAGCATAGACAAATTATAATATACATACGCACATGAATTATACGCACAAACAATGATTGACAAGACAGCTGCAGATGAGATCTGTTTAACCAATGAAAACCAAATACCACAAAATTAAAAATAGCAGAATTTTCTTTAAAAATGCCAACTAGATGCACATACACACAGACACAAAGGAATATACATTATCCTCCAAATCCCACATAGACAAACCAGGATTATGATACACATACACATGAATGCTGCTTGACAAGACAGATGCATATGAAGCCTACTCAACCAATGAAAAATAAACAACACAAAAATTAAAAATAGCAGAATTTTCTTTTTCTTCTCCATATTTCATTCTCTGATGAAGCTTTAATAAAAGCAAAACATGTTAGATTTACTATTTTTTCTTTATCATATCATTCTTTCAGATTCCAATCCATATTTCATCTCAATTCACATTTGGAAAAGTAGCAAACATACTTTATGCTTTTGCCTGTTTGTCCCTTTACTGATGACAATCCAGTTAGCCTAAGGGAATATTCTACAATCGTTCATCAAGAGTTTGGTGAACTTGCCATAAAACAAAAGCCATCATAATGATGGCAGAAGTGGTTTTAATTATGTCGAGTACAGGGCTAAAATTAAGTTCACTCGTAAGTAATTTCCATTTTAGAAAATGGTAAATGTTCAGCTAATCCAGTTTATCAACATGAAGCAAAAAAAAAAGAAAGAAATCATAAAACCTGTTTCTGCATTATTTTAGACATTCACATGCAAATTATCAAATTCATCACTCTTCATGACTTTTGATTAGGCCAGAGATATTGTCATCTCATCTGCACTGTCTAACAAAGTATTTTACCCTTCAGCAACCACCTCCATCAACAACACAGCGGTCTCATCACCGAAGCCGCCGCCATAACAACCACCATTATCATCATCAGCACCACTACGAAAATGTAAACATGTCCCCATACAGTCGGGATCGGCACCGAAGTTCTGATGATGAGAACGATCTTTCTCTCCTTGATACTGAAAGTTTCATGATGATGACAACTCCAACAGCCATCCAGAAGAGGCAAAACTTGCGAGCCGTAAGCGTTCGTGGTGTTGAATTAATAGTTGATTGCTTCAATTATCCAGTCTTTTGTCTGTGTCTGCTGATTTGACCTTGTTCATTGTTTGGTTTATGATGTCAGTGTCCTAATATTTATTAATAATAATATTATCCTTCCACATATTATTATAACAATGTCTTAATATTGATTAATAAACTATATATAATGTTGTTCAGAACTATTCTAACAATAGTGGTCCATAAACTATGTATAATGTTGTTCAAAAAAATAGGAAAAAAAAAAATACGATGGGGGGGGATAATTTTTTTGTAGATTAGCCTTCTTCTGATCTTCTTTAGGCTGCTACACTGAAAACACTGGTTCTGATTTGATCACCAAAGTTAAGCAGTGCCAACCCCAATCATTACTTAGGTGGGGGACCGCTTGGGAACATGGTAAGTGACCTCCTACAATCCAAAATATGTTTTGACTTTAAATAATGCATAAAGGGTTGATAAGCCATAAAAAAAAAAAACAATTAGGCCATGAATCAAAAAAAATATTGATTTCTGTTTATATCTCTCAGATGAGGTATTATGATTACTTGCATTATTTATATTATTCATACTGTTATACTGATCTTCATTGCAATATTCACAACGTTTCGGCCTCTATATCTCTGGGATGAGGTATTATGATTACTTGCGTTATTTACATTATTCAGACTGTTATCTGCATCTTCATTGCCATATTCATAACGTTTCGGCCTCTATATCTCTGAGATGAGGTATTATGATTACTTGCATTATTTACATTATTCGGACTGTTATCCTCATCTTCATTATCATATTCACAATGTTTTTGCCATTGTACGCTCCAACCTTCTTCAGATGATTGGAATTTTGAACCAAACCCTTTATTTTGTCCACTAGAGCAATCTATCTCGGTGGACGAAATAAACTGAAGAAGGCCGGAGCGTACAATGGCCAAAATTGTTGTGAATATAACAATGAAGATGAGGATAACAGTCCAAATAATGTAAATTGATTTGTTATTGATTTAAAAGTGGGGTCCTTCCTGTTTATAATATCAATACAATGTCAAATTGGTCCCTGACTTTTACAGAAATATTGGACTCAGTTCTTTTGCATAGAAAAACTGATTTTTTTGAAAGGAGATTTTCAAAAAGATTTCTTATAAATAATGAACAGATATATACATTTTTAATTAAAGAACAAAAATTTACATAAATCAATAAAGTTATGTATCCATTTAATCTTCATTTAAGATAAATAATTATCAATATGGTTCTAGAGAAAAATGCTGAAGATACCACGGACAGATTTTTTGAGCAACGATAAAGTTTTAGAGAAAACTGAAACAAAAAGGTCACTTATACTTAACATCAGGAAGATATAGTTAAAATTTCTGGGGCACATAATGAAGAAAGAGGGCTTGGAAAATCTGATACTCACGACAGATTGAAGGCAAGAGGGACAGAGGAAAACAATGCTTAGTGAGCTTGAGTAAATAGTTGCGGGTCTTATGAGCCAATTAAGATGGGAGGAAGAGACAGCTGAAAATTTCAAGGGCACATAATGAAGAAAGAGGGCTTGGAAAATCTGATACTCACAGGACAGATTGAAGGCAAGAGGGACAGAGGAAAACGACACATAATGTAGTTAGTGATTTTGAATAACTTGATGGCAGAACAGGGTTTAGGCAAAATAACAAAAAGACAAAATTTATTAAGAGCTACAAAGGGCAGGAAGCTGTGGAGAGCTATGATCACCTATGTCCTGAGGGGACATGGTACATGAAAAAGAAGAGTTATGAACCTCAAATGTTTGTGTGTGTGCTTCCCAAAATATAAGTTTTAAAAAAATATGCAGATATCAATGATGTAAGCACAGTTTCAAACTAAACATTTGTAAATAACAGCCTAAGAAAACAGCCTGTAAAAGTCAGGGATCAATCTGACATTGTATTGATATTATAAACAGGACCCCCACTTCTAAATCAATATTTTTCAATTCTGATAAATATTGCAGCCTAAAAAAGATCTAAAGAATGCTAATCTGCAAATACTATCCCCCCCCCCCACACACACACACCAAAAAAATTTTTTTTTTTTTTAATTTTTTATGAGTGGACCACTCTATTTAAGTAGTGCCGGTTGTCCTTCTATAAGTAAGGTTTGGTGAAACTTACTTTCAACCACATGGCAAATAGAACCGCCGTTAAGTTATAAGCAATTTCCATTTCGGAGAACAAATTGTGATGTCAAATGTATCATCCAAACTACTGATCGTATGTGACAGTTAAGAATAAATTTGGATTTTACTAACATGTTACAATGTTCAATGCAAAAGGATTGACAACTGAAAAGTTGACCTCTCTGCAAGAAAGCTGCATGTGCAGTGGGATTGTCAATATTATTCTTTTAGAGTTCTTGAAATGCACTGAAACACTAAATGTACACTTATACTATGTCCATCAGTTGGAACATGTTCATAAGGGTTGGGTTAAAAGTGCCTTACACTTGACAATTATAATAGGAAAAATGTAAGGCTGTATAGAACACGAATAACAGAGGAAAGAATTTTGGAATTTGGTTGGTCAGTTCTACTCCCACCTGCCATATTTATCTACCCTTCCACCGACCGCGGTTATTACCTTCCAATGGCTGCCAAACACTTTGCTGAGGAAGGTGTTCTCTAATGAAAACCAGATTCAAAAGTTTGTTGAGAACAGGTATTGAGGAGCAGCCGGATAAGTGGCACCAAGTTAATAAAAATAATGGCAAATATAGGGATTTTCCAAGCATAATAGATGTGGCACAAGGCCAAAAGTATGGAGCACTAAGTGAGGATCAATTCACTATTCAGTCATAATTGATCTAGTGAGACAAGCTTTTTAACCATTACACCACCTCAAGGTAACCAAATCTTATGAGGCTATAGGGATTTTCCAAGCATAGCTTAGATGTGGCACAAGGCCAAAAGTATGGAGCACTAAGTGAGGATCGAACTCACTATTCAGTCATAATTGCTCTAGTGAGACAAGCTTACAACCATTACACCACCTCAAGGTAACCAAAAGCTTATGAGGCTATAAATTTTCCAAGCATAGCTTAGATGTGGCACAAGGCCAAAAGTATGGAGCACTAAGTGAGGATCGAACTCACTATTCAGTCATAATTGCTCTAGTGAGACAAGCTTGCTAACCATTACACCACCTCAAGGTAACCAAAGCTTATGAGGCTATAGGGATTTTCCAAGCATAGCTTAGATGTGGCACAAGGCCAAAAGTATGGAGCACTCAGTGAGGATCAAACTCACTATTCAGTCATAATTGCTCTAGTGAGACAAGCTTTTTAACCATTACACCACCTCAAGGTAACCAAAGCTTTGGATAGGGATTTTCAAGCATAGCTTAGATGTGGCACAAGGCCAAAAGTATGGAGCACTAGTGAGGATCGAACTCACTATTCAGTCATAATTGCTCTAGTGAGACAAGCTTGCTAACCATTACACCACCTCAAGGTAACCAAAGCTTATGAGGCTATAGGGATTTTCCAAGCATAGCTTAGATGTGGCACAAGGCCAAAAGTATGGAGCACTAAGTGAGGATCGAACTCACTATTCAGTCATAATTGCTCTAGTGAGACAAGCTTGCTAACCATTACACCACCTCAAGGTAACCAAAGCTTATGAGGCTATAGGGATTTTCCAAGCATAACTTAGATGTGGCACAAGGCCAAAAGTATGGAGCACTAAGTGAGGATCAACTCACTATTCAGTCATAATTGTTCTAGTGAGACAAAAATGCTAACCATTACACCACCTCAAGGTAAATCAAAATAATTATATAAAATAGGGATTTTCAAGCATAGCAAGATGTTTAGGCCAAAAAATATGGAGCACTAAGTGAGGATCGAACTCACTATTCAGTCATAATTGCTCTAGTGAGACAAGCTTGCTAACCATTACACCACCTCAAAAAAACCAAAAAATATGAGGCTATAGGGATTTTCCAAGCAATATTTAGATGTGGCACAAGGCCAAAAGTATGGAGCACTAAGTGAGGATCGAACTCACTATTCAGTCATAATTGCTCTAGTGAGACAAACTTGCTAAAACATTACACCACCTCAAGGTAACCAAAGCTTATGAGGCTAAGTCTCATTTTTTCAAGAGTAGCTCAGATGTGGTACAAGGCCAAAAGTATGAGCACCCAGTGAGGATCAAACTCACTTTCCTTGTGAGTAATTGTTCTAATGAGACAAGCTTGTTAACCATTACACTGCCCTGAGGTGCCCAAAGTCTAACGTTCCTGAGAGAACAGAGCTATTATACTGATTTTCCAAGTGCAGCTTAGATGTGGCACAAGGCCGAAAGGCAGGGCACCCAGTGAGGATCGAACTCACTACTCAGTCATTTGTTCTAGCAGACAAGCTTCCTAACCATTACACCACCTCAAGGTGCCCAAATAGTGATTTTTCCAAGAAATTTAGAACTTAGATGTGGCACAAGGCTGAAAGTAATTACACCCAGTGAGGATCAAACTCACTACTCAGTAAATAAAATGTTCTAGCGAGACAAGCTTGCTGACCATTACACCACGTAGGTGCCCAAATAGTGATTTTCCAAGCGTAGCTTAGATGTGGCACATGGCTTCAGTATAAACAGGCACCCAGTGAGGATCGAACTCACTACTCAGTTGTAATTGTTCTAGCATTTACAAGCTTGTTAATATGAGACTGCCTTTTCCCCTAAATAATGGTGAATATATAATGTTAACTATGATCCATTACCTTTCAGATTAACTATTATGGAGATTGTTAATGCTAATCCTTCCAAGGATTGAACTCTTCATCCTTGGCTAACAAACATTGTTGAATTATCCTGTACCACCTGCTAGTTAAAAATAAGCCCACCCTTTTCGATAAAAAATTCTAAGAATTTGTTCAAAGGGTGAGATATAAAAAAAAAAAAAACAACAAAAAAAAAACAAACATGTCATTCTTAGACAAA